GTGCCAATTTTAGTGAATGGCTGGATCACAGGAGCGAACAGAAGCCCATAATCGTAAATTGTTGACATTAAAGAAACGTAGTGAAGAATCAGTGCCGTAGTCAGAATTTTTTTTGGGAGTGGGGGCTTTAATATTTTATTAATAGGGTTAGGATATTACCGGTACTACCGGATGAATTAAGTTTTATATTCCGGGGGGGGAGAGGTTAAGCCTCTCTCCTCTCAGGTAAAACATAGCGATAAATATTATGAATACTGCACATTGACAGTTGATTGATTTGTTACGAACACAATTTAATTATAGCTAATAATATAATAGTACTATATTTGAATTGTTCTTGTAAAAGTTTTGTTTAACTGATCTTATTACTTATTAGTTATTAGGTATACTAATAGATAAATAAATTGTAAATACACTATCAAATTTTTTAAGAAATTTACGCTGTCAAAATTGATGCTCAGCGTATTCAATGATATTCAAATTKAATACATGCATTTTAGTGACCTACTCAACGACGTGGTTAACACTTGACAGTCTATATCAACGATACAACGGAGTGACTTCCCTGTTTTTTTTTGTTAATAGGTCGGACAAAGCCAATGGTCAACTTCACAAAGACATGTCTATTAGTTGTCATTTGAGCATGTGTTCCATAATGTACGGTTACTTATTTGATTATACAATGATGTATGTTGTTTTTTTAGTCTGTCATTACGTTATAGAACAGTAAAAAAGCTTCGATTTACTTTCACAGAATCTTTTTTAGTGGTAAATTGAATCTATTTTATACTTTTAGAAGATCAAACCTAAAAAATTTCAATATTTTTTGAAAGCGTCTGGAAAAATAAACAAGAAATTAAGTAAAACTGAGATTTTTACCTAAAACCAGTTTTCGAAAAAAAAAACGATTTTGTTTTCTAATGTAACTCAACAAAAATAATATTAAATACAAGAACATTTCTACTGAATAGTTATATTAGCAATTTATATGCACCGTACATTTTTCAAAATATTATTTCTTTTTGAGTTATATATATATACGAGTATAAGTTATAGATATATAAGAAATGTTCGAGTTTTATTAGATTTTTTATAATTTTTTTTTTTGATCATTCAAAAAACTTAAAATATTATACACCGTTCTTCATAAGTTTTTGTAAGTGGAAATTAAAAAATAATTAACTGTGCGTAAATCAGCAATAATTTTTTATGAGCGTTTGAAGCCAAAATTTTGATAAAATTCATAAAAATCACAAATATTTAAAAATTATTTCGTGTTRGAAATTAAAAAAAAAATCAAAGATTGTCATTAATAGTTCATACTGTACCCAAGAAAATTAAAATTATATAAATGCATATTTTATTATATTTTCAAATATAATTTTTTTTACCTACTTTTGTACTGATGCCTATATAGACAATAATAAAATAAATTACTTTATTCTCAATAATATCATCAAATATATACTTAGTAATATAATAGGTTGATAAACCTTCGCTCAGAAACGTTTTCGTATACAATGACTCTGTGAACACCTAATTTACAACAACTAGATCGTTACCCACTTACCTGCTTTTTTATTTTGATTACTTACGGATATCAAATCAGTGTATTATAAACATTACTATATTTTAATGCTTTAAAAGAGGAATTAACCCTCTAAAATATATTAAATACGTTTTTCTAGATCATATAAAAAAAATTTACTTTTAAAATAATTCTAGATTCAGTATTGTATTTAAATGCAGATATGCAATGTAATTATTTAAATATCAGCAATTGCTGATCTACTTAATACATCAAATATAAAGTTTCTAGCTCCAGCTCTGTACTTTCTCCAATATGACGTTTGGTCGATGTAACTTTCTTGAAAATGTAAATAATTTGTTAATCGTTGTAACCAAAGTCCAAATATTCTATTATGCATACGTTCATTCTTATTAAGTTTTGGGGAGGGAAAGGCTTTATGTTTTTTTGTCTTTGATTTTGTGAAAGCCGAGCCCGTTGACAGCAGCTTTCGAAATTAAAGAAAGGCGGCCAGGGCAGATGTTACGAAATACCCGGCAGTGAGTACACCAAACCGCCACCGCCGACGCCCGATGGATAGGTAGGTACACCAGAGAGAGTTTTGTCGTACACGTTACCCAGCATCTAGGTTAGAATAATGCGGTTAAACTTCCGCCTCCAACAACGTCGAACAAAATCGCAACAATAGACGAAAATAAATAGCTGTTCATTATTTGAGCAGAACATGATTTTCACATTGCGCTGCCGTGCTCAATTCTGCGCATATCCTTATTATAGTATACATCATTTTTATTGTTTCCTATATCTCGATTTACATTTTAACGATGAATCTGTTCATTTAAATCAAAAAGTATTGTTTCAAGTACTAGCATTTCTAATAAGAAGTCAAAATGATGTGCATAATAATATTAATGTATCGTATCACCTACAATAATCATAATTTAATTTAATAAACAAAATACCATAATATGCACATCCTTGGTGTACATAATAAATGTATTATAAATTATCTGGATTTCATAATTATGAAATTAAATTATGTTTTCATATATTTAAATAAATAGGGATATTAAGCACGTATATATGTATTTTAGAATTATATTTAGAAAACTGAATGTTAAATGTGTTTTTTGTATATCATTGGTTATAAATAATTATAGTGTTTAAAACCATGATGGTAGGTACTATTGAACACAAGTCGTTATACAATATTATAGAACATAGATATTTTCATGATTATAAATTTGACCCAAGGTAAGTAGGATGTCTAGATATTTCTATTGATAACAACTGCATAATATGATGAATGTGTCAATTGTGTTTCATTGTAATGAATATTATGGCTTTTTAGATAAACATAATTTTATGTTATACGTATAGGTTTGATAACAACAACAGCAGTGTATTATAGTTCTCGTTTTCAATATTTRCTCATATGTTATCATGTTGGCATGTAGGTGATATTAGTACATACATATTATATTGCATGTATATTGTATATCTACTGTACTAATAAGCTCTTCGATACGCCCACCATATTTTTAGTGGCCTGAAAGCGTTCGGGTGAATGGGAAAGTCGAGAAAACGTCCGATTTCTACAGGCAGCTTCATTTCTGGCGTCATTATCGCAGCACTATGGTACATTTCTCTGTRAAATATATGTATGAAACTCTCACCGACTATCATTGTTGTACAATATATTTCTCCATTAGAAAGCAATCATCAAAAATTATATTACTGCCTTTTCGATTGCATACTTCAATATTTTTAAGGTGAAAATGAAGTCATCTTATCATGTTTTAAACTGTTAAGTATTGTGTTAGGGAGAGGAGAAGTAGGTAAATCGAAATAAACAACAAATAAAATTTAAAAAAAATAATGTATATTGTATGTTATGATCGCTTGATTTGAGATTTTTAAAAAGTAACTACTTCTAATAACAATTACGCAGTTGTTAATTGATTTATAACAACCGAGTCCTTGGCGAATTTACATTATCAATTGAATTATACATCGCACCATCCAATATTATAGCTAACATTATTAAAATCGTTAATAACTTAAATCTCCAAGTAATTAATTTGATCTAATAATATATATAATATAACACAGACACAGGTACTATTCAGTTTTGATTATTTTATACGTTAAATTAACTTTATTAAAATTATAAAATCAAAAATTGGAATACTAAAACTGTATTCTGTTTATTAAAACATATCTCATTTATTTTAAATTTACTTTGCTTTATTTAAAACGCTAGAACATAATGTTAAATAATCATAATTTAAATTTTTAAATATAAAACTTAACAGTTAAAGGGAGTTTTTCTTATTATTATAGAACATTTGTGTTTAGGTATTAGAAYTCAATAAGTAAATTTAAACATTACATAATATTGTGTTTAAATTTTAATTAATTCCATATATGTTATAAGTTTGATATATATTAACAAAATATTCGAAGAATTCAATATTAAGAAACCAAGGAAATGTATAGTGTAATTGCTTTCTAATGAGGAGATCAAATTGAATTATAATTAAAAATGTTTAATGAAATGTTATATGCATAGTTAATTAAACATTAAAAAGTACACTTTATATGATTAGGTCTATTAATGGTTATGTTTTTCGTATTTCATTATTCGTAACCATTTATTAGACCATTGAGTGTTTAAAATACAAAACATATATTATTTAGAATATTTTTATTTATCGAATGTGATCTTGAAGTATAAGTCTAAGTTTGGATATTGGTCGCCTTCGTACTTATAGCCCTGAGAATAATCTATCTGAAAATAAATTTATGTAGAGTATTATATATAGGTATGAGTTTACTTTATGTATAATATTGGAAAGTGTTTGTCCCCGTAGCAGCAGGAAACACCTTCAACCTTCATATTTTTAACTCTTCCTCGGYTTGGAGGCCTCTTTAGTTATCTGTATGTATTATAGCATAATAAATCTCTCTAGGCCACTTTCTAAGGATCCAAAACAATATAACCATACACCTTAAATATTAACAAAAGTTTAAATATAGATTTGGCTTTAGCAAATTTTCAGTATTAACTAAAATACTTTCCAACCTAAATAAAACTATATTACAACTATTATATACCAGAAAAATAGTTTTATCGATTTTGAGCGTATAACAAATATGTAGTACTTATAACTTAACATTCATAATAAAGTATCGCATATGTTGCATTTGCAGCTATAAAATATTATGTWTKCGAGAAACCTTGACCTAGTTACTAAATTATAATTTGGACCACATGTGCTCCATTTTTTAATGGAAAACCAAAAAAAAAAATTACGACTTAAACTTTTTTTATGTAAATGTATAAACATATAAACACATAATATATACTTAACATATACCTGTATTTATATAATACACACACATATATATATACATAACTAAATAAGCTTCAACATATTAATTATTAATGTAAGTATTTTATTTTTTACAGAACACTACTAGATTTTGATTTGACATTTATCTCCCCATCATGTCGTAAGTCGTAATGTTTTATTTAACTTGTATTTTATAGTCAACTTATTAAAGTATTTTTATTGCACATCTAAACAATGTATACTTTTGAAAATAAACAATGTTACTATAATACATCAATTTCTTGATTTATTTTAAAGTCTAGAAATTTATTACAATTACCAGATGGTGTTAAAATGTTCTTTATTCATATTTTAACCTAATTTTTTGTTGCTAAACAATGCTATGTTTCTGGTTCGARTAGTACTATATAGTTGATTTAACATTAGCACGCGTAACCGTTGTTACGTAAATACTCGTGAAATTGTGTCGATCTCTTTTGGAGAAAGAGACAGGTGAAAGGGGTCTGAAGAAGTTTTTCTTTTGCATTTTTTTTTTGTTCTTATGCACTTTCTTTCATAGGGTGCTCAAATATAACATTATTTTTTCTTTGTCTCTGGAACATTGACTTGGCATTTGCAATAAAAATTTCAAAGCATAGGTACATTTAAAATGTAATATGTTGTACGTAATAATATTGAATAATTTGTATTTTATAGTCTAAACATAAAGCGTTCTTATTATTTTACAGTATTTGAGGCTAGTTGAGATTAACCGTCTACGTAATTAATTTATCTTATGTTATAAATGGCGTGTTTTCAAAAATATTATCCTTTGCTAGCGCTATTCCTTTTTGCTATTATTATGTTATAAGTCATAAAAACTTACTATACGAATCATTAAAAAAATAAATGATAAAGAGCCTGTTGTACAGACGTGCCAAGGACTCTGTGGTATCAGTAGAGGAGTTGACGTTTCTGACATCATATCAGGGCCAGACCGATAAAATAACGTTGAAAAAAAACCGTTTAATATATTTATTACTTACTATACCAAAGTATGATTTGTTGGAAAAATTTATATAAACATTTTATGGTGTTAAAATATAAAATATTATCATATATAACTTATAATGGGCGATGTATTTTGTAGTCAATGATATCGACGTGCATCTTAAAATTTAATTTTAATTGATATAATTGTATTTATAATATATATTTTATGTACATATGTATATATACTCTCAATGGTGCAGTCACCTTCGCAAAAAATAATAATCACGTTTCACGTACGTAGTTTATGTTTATCTTTGTAATTATGTTATCATTTATAGACTTTTTAAGTTTCTAGTGAAAAAAAATAGGTTRTAGGTACAAGTAGTATAATAATTTAACGTATTAAAAAATATAAAGTACCTACCTATAACCTCTAGGTAATAAAAAAAAAAACAATCTTGAAAGTTTTTGTTAATTGCTTAAAATGT